CCCTTCCATTAGCACTTCAGGGCTTCCAGGTTCTAGAAAGCACAGCCAGCCTTGCCAGCACATGATCCCCAGAAGCATGCTCCAGAGGGAAGGCTGAGGGGTGACCACTGCAAAATCACTATCTACTAGAATAGTGTGGTTAAGTGGAGAGTGTAAAGCAGGGCTGCTCAGATTCTAGGCCTCCCCCAGGTCCCTGCCCCTGGGCACAGGGCTTACTTGCCCAGGCAGGCTGTGTGGGAGGACAAGAAACTCCATGAAAGTGCTCTACCAATGAATTCCCACAGGACGTGGTCATGTGGATGGAGTGTTCCTTTTCCTAATGGCTTAGCCACAGAAACTCCTCCCACCTGTGTACAGCATCTTGATTGTGAGACAGGAAGCTCAGAACACTTTTTGTACCAGGGGTTGAACCCAGGGACAGTTAACCATTGAGCCATATCCCCTGCCCTTTAGACAGGGTCCCACTAAGTTGCTTAGGGCCTACTAATTGCTAAGGCTGCTTTTGAACTTGCACTCCTGCCTCAGCCTTCCAGCATAGACACTCACTGGGATTAAGGTGTGTGCCACCTCGCCCAGGCAGAATGCTTTCTAAAAGCCAAGGACTAAAAGCTGACATGGGCTGGGGTTGTGGCTCAGTGGTAGAGCACTTGCCTGGCACACGTGGGGCACTGGGTTCGATTTTCAGCACTATATAGAAATAAGGGTATAGGGTCCACCTACAACTAAAACAATACATAAAAGTGACATGAGCTAATTTAGTGATCCAAGGAAACGATCTGACATTAAGTCCTCGATGATCAAATCTTGAACTGAGACCACCTCAAGTGTCCTGCACTAGAAATCAGAAGCCTACCTACCATATGAGGTCAGTGGCTGTCCCTCCTAGACCCAAAAAGGGCCAAAGGAAGGGAGGAGAGCATCCACAATCCCACTGTGAAGTCACATCCTCATTGGGGAAGGGTTATAGATTTGACAGCTTCCTATCAGCCACTGGGGAAAAAACTACCAAATTCTTTTCTTCAAAGGCAAACTGATTTCTCAAAAGCTTTCCTCTTCCTAATAGCTTAGCTACAGAAATTCCTCCCACCTGTGGCACAGGATGGTGGGCCCATGAGGACATGGGTACACAGCTCAACCAGGGGCAATATGCATAGATACACAGCTCAGGGCTGAGGGTGTGGCTCAATAATAAAGCACTTGCCTAGCCTGCACCAGACTGGCGCACCCTCAGAGCCAGGGGTGAGGGGAGTACAGCTTAGCCAGGGGTGGTGACACACAAAGGAACAGGCACACAGCTCAACCAAGGGTGGTGGGCAAGTGAGGGCATGGCATGCAACTCAGCCAGGGGCAGTGAGCACAGGTACACAGCTCAGGCAAGGAAGGAGGGCACTCAAAGATGGACACATAGCTCTGCAAAGGAGGCAAGGTCCCTCCTTCCTACCTCAAGGGAAACAACCTCATCCAGCCTTGGTGTAGATGGACCTTCATGTCCCCTTGAAACATCTGCTCGTCAGCACTCAAAGCAAAATGTCAGGGCCACTGAAATCCTACCATTTGACAATCAGAAATGTTTGAAGTAGTCTCCACCACTTGCCATGTGGGCGGAAGCCAGGGGAAGCTCAAACCCCAAGGTCATCCCCAGCAGCCCGCCCTAGCACTGCAGCTGCAATCCTGAAGACACATTTCTTAGAGCAGGAACGAGCTTCTTCCCATCCAATATTGCTGTTAGTGCTGGGAACCCCCGATAGAAGAGCCTTCAGCCTCCCATGACTTTGTTTTCAACTCTAAGAACAGCGGCACAGCTGGCATCCCTGCTGGACTCTGGTCACCGATGCTCCAGAATCCAACACTTCACAGGCATTCCCAGGCGAGGAAGTGACAGAACTATCATTCATCATTCTCAATTTATTAAAAAGGGTCCTACATTTTTACAACCAGTAACAGACGAGGCCCCTGACAGCAATGGCAAAGCCAGCCTGGCAGCCCCCTCACAACACCCACACAGAGTTCATGTCTGGCTGGAGCCCTCAGCCAAGCTGTGGGCACTCCCAGTGAGGCCAGCAGCAGAGGTATTCAGGGGAGGACGATGGCAGCACTCATCCAAGATTCACAGAACATGGCAAGCCCTCCTGATTGGCATGGCAGTGAATCATCCTACACAGTCCTCTCTCTCTTTACAGGACAGTTATAATACAGTAGAGTTCAAGTCCAAGAGGAGAGTACGGTAACTGAGGACAAAGGCTGGTGGCCCTGCCTATGGCCCACTGCAACAGGTCAGGCCCTGGCTGCCTAACATAGGTGACAGGGTAAGGGTGGGGCTCCAAGTTCCAATGAGCACACAGGTCTCTGTGAGATGCTATCCCTCCCCAGCTGGGCCCTGGGAATTCTGCAAATGTGGCACCTGTAGTCAAGATCCCAGAGAGGAAGGAAGAGATGGTGTATGATGCATATCCCATGGGAGTGGGCTTTCTCCAAACCCCTCCAGTGCCCTTGCCCAGCACCTGCAGCACCACCAGGCCCTGGGCCCACCTGCCTTGAGGCCCAGCTGCCTGCCAGCCAGAAGCAGAGAATACTGGCTGAGAGTATCCTGGTTGACAGTGGCCATACTTTCTTCCCACCTGTCACAAACAAGCCCTTACAGGAATACAGGGCTGCCAGGGCCTGGCCTGGCCTATGGGCCCACAGGGCAGCCATGGCCGGCACCTTGCAGGTGTCTGAGTCCTGGCACCAGGTGAAGCTAAGGCACAGCACGGGCACCTGTAGGTGTGACCGTGTACTGTTTGCAGGAAAAGAAATTGCATTTACTTCATTTGCATTTTGATCTATTCAAAACAATATTTGCATTTTAAAAGTTTCCCTGAATATCTTGTTTCAAAAAAGTTCTTTCCCAATATAAAACAGGTAAATTACACATGTAGTAAAAATACCAGGGGAGTATTTCTTCACAGAAACCTTCAGGGGCTAGCTCGGGGCAAAAGCGAAGAGCTGGGAACAGCGTGTTGTGCGAAGTCCAGCTCACACACTCACACCCGGGGCCACTCCTCCCCGGGTCTTGGAACAGGAGTGAGCCAAGTATAAGCACTGCCCATGGCTGTGAAGCATGAGAAGCAGCCAGGTTTGGGGGAAAGAAGGGGTGACGGTGATGACAGCTCCAGACAGACTCAGCAGGCAGTGCAGCTGTGCCTTGTGGCCAGCCATGGGCATGACCACTGGGCTGGCTGACACAGACCTGTCTTTTTCCAGGGCCACAGCAGCTAGTGGAATGAGACACAGCACTGTCTTCTGAAAATAACAGACATAATTAGCCATGCTTATTAAATAGGGCTGCAACATCAGGACCAAGACTTGAAATGGGAGTTGAGGAGAGGCTTTTTCCTTCCCAAATGCACAAGTTAATCAATACTACGGTATTTGGACACCACACTCAGGACGCACACGGCAAGTTGCACAGGCCTGCCGGGCTGCACCCGCGAGCACACACTGCCTGGGTGCACAAAACCTGGGCCTCTACTCCTAAACCACTGGCCTACAGTTCTAAAGCCAGATGGGACACTGGCCCAGGGTTCCCAAGCCCTTGGCCCAACAGTCAGAGCTCAGAGCCTCTGTGTGCAGAACCTGGCAAGGCAGGCAGAGGGCGTCTCCCAGAAGTACAGCTCTGGTGCTCACTGCAGGATGAAGCCTGGCTGGTGAGGAGGCAGCCGGGGCGGGGGTCTCTGGGGAAGAGCTGGAGGGTACGGCGACACGAACTGCGCAGAGAATCCTTGCTGAGGAGGAAGGCCCACCCGAGGGGGCAGGGGTGGGCACTGTAATCCTGGGTATGGAACGGCCTGTCCTGAGCCCATGGCAGCAGTAAATGGGGTGGCTAAACGTCCAGCAGGCACCGGGGGCGGGGGCGGGGGGATGCGCCGAGGCACAACAGAGGGGGGCCCACTGGCCTCCAGGGCTGGGTAGGGCAGAGAAGCAGCAGGCACAGACTCAGGAATCCTGGGCGGCAGTGGGGCCGCGACCTGCGGGAGTCTCTGGCCCTTCAGCACCAGCTCCTGCAGCTTCTCAACCTTCACTCGTCGCATGTGGGCCAATTTCCGCTTGCTCTGGTAGACGTCAATGAAGGCATCTAGAGGAAGCTCTCCATCCAGAAACTTCTCTGCCATGTTCTGAAAGAGGCAGAAGAAATTTGGTTATTGGGCAGGCAGGCTGTTAGGAAGAGAGCCCCCTTCGCAGCTCAGGGCTCAGGGAGTACTTCAGTCTCTCCCCTTGGTAATGACTTGAGGTGCCCGTGTGCTGCCACTTGGTCAGCAATGTAGGCTCAGGAGGTGCGCTTGGTAAGAGCCACTGGGAGGCAAGCTGGTGGTCCTGCCTTGGGCCTCACTTCCCCAAACCACAAGCCCAAACAGGCAGTAGGCCAGGCAGGACCCAACTTTACAATAAAGGGGCAGCACTCCAAGTTGCTGGGTTGCCTGGCCCAGAGGGGGCACCACTGTCCTAGTTCAGCTTTTTCTAGCTAAGTCAGCTGAAACCCAAGTCCTCCTGGCTTTCCCCTTGGCTGCACCCTGACAGACCTGCTTGTGTCCATCAGGGTCTCCCCA